TCTGCATCTGAAAAACTATGAATACTAAGAGGTGCAGAACATTTTGGAAACAAGATACCAAGAGAAATAGTGCCCTTCAAATATCTGAAAATGTGTCTAACAGCCTGGAAATGAGATTCTCGTGGACATTGCATGATCTGACAGACAAGATTTACTGCAAAGGACAAATCTGGTCGAGTCCAGGTTAAGTATTGAAGCTCTCCAACTAAGGATTTGTATTCTTCTGGATTGGACAGTAATGGAGAAGAGTGATCCAATTTAGCTATGCTCAGTAGAGTGACACAGGGTTTAGCACCTTCCATGTGCGCCTTCTTGAGAATATCTAGAATTATTTAGTTTGGAAGATCTCTTGACCTCAATGCCTAAAAAATAATGAATCCCAAATCCTTAACAGGAAATAATTCACAGAGTTGAGAAATCACAGTTTTACATGCTGCAGAATATGGTTCTGTAACTAAAATATCATCAACATACACCAAGACATATACCACTGAAGCATCTTTCTTGACAAATAAAGAATGGTCATTTTGAGACCTAGAGAATCTAATAGAGTGTAATGCAGCTGTTAACTTGGCATACCAAGCTCTGAGAGCCTGTTTTAGGCCATACAGAGATTTGTGCAATTTACAAACATGTTGTGGTTGAGCGGGATCTTCAAACCCAGGAGGTTGAACCATGAAATCATACTCAGTGAGATTTCCATGCAGAAATGCTTTACTAACATCTAACTGATTAATAAACCAATCAAACTTAGCTGTTAGGGTTAAGAGAAGTTGAATGGTAACTGGTTTTGCAACCGGACTGAAGGTTTCATTGTAATCTAGACCTTGTTGCTAATGAAATTCTCTAGCAACAAGACGGGCTTTGTACCTGTCAACTGAACCATCAGGCTTCCTTTTAATACTGAACCATCGGGCTTTGTACTGTCAATCTGAAAGTGCAGGAATAGTTGAAGTAGATAAGGAATTGGATTGTAAGGGTGAGTTTAATAAAGCAAATGATGAAGGAGTAAAGGAATGAGTAAAGGTTAATGAGGTTGGGATGGATGGGAAATTGGAAATAGGTTGAACTGGAGGAAGATGACTCACAGTGGATTGGTTATGATGAAATGGAAATGTATGTTCACCAAACATTACATGTCTAGAAATATAAAGTTTCCCAGTGTAAGCATCCAAACATCTATAGCCTTTGTGATTTAGGCTATATCCCAAAAATACACAAGGTTTGCTTTTAGGATCAAGCTTAGAGGATGTGTAAGGTTTTAACCAAGGAAAACACCTACAACCAAATACCTTGAAAGTTGTGTAATCTGGTGGTTTATGAAATAAGAGTTCCCAATGAGAGGGTTTACCACCAGTGGGCATTCGATTGATAAGATAAAGAGCTGTTGAAAATGTTTCAACCCAATAAATATGAGGAACTTGAAATGCTGCAAGAATAGTCCGGGCAGTTTCAACTAAATGCATGTGTTTTCTTTCAACACAACCATTTTGTTCTGGAGTATGAGGGCAGCCAAGTTGATGAGAGATCCCCATATGTTTTAAAGAAATCAGAGAAGTTGTGATTGATAAATTCACGACCAGGGTCAGATCGCACAGTAATAACCTTGAATCCCAACATGTTTTCAACCGATTTGAAATGAACAAATGTACTAAAAACTTCAGATTTGTACTTCAATGGAAAGAACCAAGAATACTTAGTAAAATCATCAACCAAGAGAAGATAATACTGATATCCATTGACAGAAGAAATGGGCGCAGGACCCCATACATCAGTGTGCAATAGCTCAAGAGGTTTACTTGTGTTACAAGAAACATAAGTAAATGATTTTCGAGAACATTTACCTAAAGCACAACTGGAGCACACAAATTTATTTATCCTATCTAAAAGAGAGATACTAGACTTTGAAGCTAGTTTATTTAAAATCTTGAAATCGGGATGGCCTAAACGTTGATGCCAGATGCCCTGAGAAGCTTTAGTATTGGTCATATAAGCATGATGATTTCCAGCAACAAAGGGTGTAAGAAAGGGATAGAATCCAGCTTTGACAGGGCCTTTAAAAAGCTCATTCCCCGAAGTGAGATCCTTCACAATGAAGTGAAAAGGATATAGATGAATGGAGCACCAGTTATCAACTATAAATCGATTTGTAGAAATCAAATCTTGTTTCAGATCATGAACATGTAGCACATTGTTCAAATCAAACGTATAAGTAGAAGTATGAGGACTAGAAGAACCAGAGTGAGTAATAGGCAAACCTTTGCCGTCGCCAATATAGACCTGCTCAAGACCATTGTAGGATTCAGGACTTTGAAGATTTGTGTAAGAGTTGGTCATATGAGAACTGGCGCCAGTATCAAGAAGCCATGTTGGAGCAGTGGAAGAAGTGTTAGCATGAAAAGCTGTCTGTGAATTCTTGTTGCCATAACTAAGATTCATATGATGCGGACAATCAATAGCCTCATGATCAAGTTGACGACAAATTTGACATGAATTTCTTCTGTTGAAATTATTGAAATTGGATCTAGAGCCATGATTATTCTTTTGTTGACCTTGGCGAGAGAAATTCGGGCAAGAATTGTAAGATTGAGAGTTATTGGGGCGATACTGAAAATTTCTAAGGTTAGAAAAATTCTAATCCATGCCACGACCTTTTGAAGAATTGAAATTGGAGCTCTGTTGAACATAATATGCCTAAGAATTGGAGTCACCGAGTGGTGTAGGAAGAATGCCGACAGAGGAATTATAAGCTTGAAATGGCGCTGATGAAGAAACCTTCTTGCGATTTGCCAATTGAATCTCCTTACTGAGCAACAAGCCCTGTAACTCATCAATAGTGTTTGAACCAAGACGAAACTGAATAGTATCAATAAAGGCATCATATTCAGGTGGTAATCCATGAAGAATAATAGAGATGAGTTATAATTCATCAATCGGAGCACCAGCAGTTGCAAAAGCATCAACGATTTCTTCAATTTGTTGAAGATAAGTAGTCGCAGTGGAAACGCCTTTAGTAATTGTTCGAAGGCGAGAACGAAGTTCATAAATATGTGATTGAGATGTCGTCACAAGGCGAGACTCCAATTTTGCTCACATATCATGAGCAGAAGTAACACCAACAGTGTAAAGGATCAGAGAATCCAAGAGTGTCGAATTGATCCAGATCAAAATGTTCTGATCGTTCTCAAATCACATCACATATTGAGGATTCACAGTTGAAGTGCAATTTCCTGAAGAATCAAGAAGATACTTAGGCGGTGCCACCAAAGAACCATCAATTATTCCAATGAGATTGTACCGGCGAAAGATCGATGCAAATAAAGCACTCCAGGTGATCCAATTTGTAGTCGCCAGTTTGATCGGGACCAGCAAGCCAATGTTCTAAACTGTGATCAAAGAATTGACCGAATTAAGGCACGAATTTAGGGCCGAAGAATCTGCAAGAGATGGCTGCGATGTAGAATCAGAGAGAGGCGGAGGAGAGACAGCCATTGTTGGTAGCGTAGAAAGGCAAGAGGAGAGAACACAGAGAACACATGGAGACGAAGAATCGTCAGAGGTCGTTAAACACCGGCGATAGATACCATGTTAGAATCTAAAGAGAGATCCAGTAAGAAAGATAGAGAGAGAAGAGAGAAATGAAATTGTGAATTTCATTACTTGAATAATGTTACACTTTTGGTATATATACCATCATTTACTTATAGGATAACTACCTAACTTATTAACTAAGTAAGGTATACCAAACTTCTCACAACTCTAACAACACTTACTCAGCATCATTTACATTACTACCCTTAATAGTAATTTCATCTATATATTTTGGGTCCCCACAGTTCTGAGCAGACTATTAGTAACCTGAGAAGTTCAGTGGATGATCAATGTTGCCTGTTGGATTGCTTGTGCCATTGTCTTAGACTCTTAGGTAAAGGTTTTATATATGCACAGAGAGGAAGGTCACTGCACACTTGCATAGTCTCTTTCATACATTACAATTGTTTCAGTTCTACTGCTATAGACATCTTTCTCTGCTTAATTTCTTATGCTTTCTTTCTTTTCTTTTCGGAAAATTGACTAAATTCTTATCTTCTTTCTTTATTGAGTGAGGCATCTTCAACTGCGACTTACTATTTCAGGAGAAACTTTATTTTCTTAATTATGAAAAGACTTCACTTATTGACCACAAAATTTGATTGAAAATAAGATTTCTGTGTCGCCATTTTTACAAAATTCTTTGATGGATATCACAGACTTCTTGTATTACTATTTTTTTATTCAGAGAAGGGAGATGGCAGTACTCTACTTTTATTATAGTTCAATCATATAGCTATATGTGGACCAAAATACTTAAATCATTTTAGTTCAAAGCTCTATCATGAAGTTAAAATTTTGCAAAGGGGAGCTGGTAGGATATTAGTTTATTAAAAGCATTCACTTTTTCTGGTAGGATAGTTAATTGGTTAAAAGCATTCACTCTTTCATTCGAAGTTTTGTTTTCGATTCTTAAATATATAGTTCTTAATATTTGGATCCAATATATATTTTTGAATCTTCTGCTGCAATTGCAGCAGAGTTTATATACATCTTTGTTACACACGCATGCAATAAACAAAAGGACTGGAAGTGGCATCCATGCTGTCCTTGTTGCAGCAGTCAGAAACCACATGCAGTGGCCTTGCTGTCCATGATGCATGTGTCCTTGCTGTCTAGATAATGGTACATCTACACATGCTAACCTAGCTGTCAAGGAATGATAATATTCCTTCTGTCCAGTTTGTGATGTAGTGGAGCACCTTTAACACCTTTAACACTCCCCCTCAAGTTGGAGTGTGGATATCAATAACACCCAACTTGCCAAGATGTGAATGGAAGGTAGGTGCTCTTAGTGGCTTTGTAAACATGTCTGCTATTTGACGTCCCGTCTGCACATGAGAGGTCTTGATCTCTCCCCTCTGAATCCTTTCACGAACAGTATGACAATCCAGCTCTATATGTTTGGTTCATTCATGATACACAGGGTTCGCTGCAATATGTAAAGCAGCTTGATTGTCGCAAAACAACCTTGCTGGCTCAGGATGGTTTACACGCAAATCATTCAACAAATTCCTCAGCCAAGTAAGCTCACAAGTGGTTGCAGCCATGGAGCGATACTCGGCTTCTGCTGAAGATCTTGCCACCGTGACTTGCTTTTTACTTTTCCACGATACAAGTGATTTACCAAGGAAGATACAAAAACCTGTCACTGATCGACGTGTGATCGGACATCTAGCCCAATCCACATCACAGTAGCCAATCAAATTAAGTTGGTTCTCCATAGGAAATAGTAACCCTTGTCCTGATGCTTCTTTCAGATATTGGAGGAGACGATATGCTGCTTTAAGGTGATGGAGTGTTGGTTCTTGCATGAACTGACTGAGATTATTCACTGCATACGTAATATCTGGCCTTGTAATGGTAAGGTATATTAATTTTCCAACCAAACGTCGATATCGAGTCGGGTCCTTGAGGGCATCACCACCTGTTGTTGTCAACACTAAATCTGGTTCCATAGGTACCTTGGCAGGTCTTACGCCAAGCAAGCCAGCTTCCTCCAATATGTCCAGAGTATACTTTCGTTGGCAAATGGAGATCCCAGCTTTGGACCGTGCAACTTCGACACCCAGAAAATATTTTAATGGTCCGAGGTCTTTAATTCGAAAACATCCACTAAGAAATTGCTTGAGTTGACTAATGGCTTCCTCATTATTTCCTGCAATGATCATGTCATCGACGTAGAGCAATACTACAGTAATGGAGTGTCCACAAACCTTAGTGAATAATGAGTAGTCCGCATGAGACTGTTGAAAGCCAATTTCTTGAATGGTTGATGAAAAACGTTGGAACCAGCTGCGAGATGCCTGCTTGAGTCCGTATAATGACTTGTGAAGTCGACAAACCATAGTCTCCCCCTGTCGACGATAACCAGGAGGTGGTAACATATAGACTTCCTCATGGAGTGCACCGTGAAGGAAAGCGTTTTGGACATCCATTTGGTGAAGAGACCAGCTGCGAACAGCAGCAATGGTCAAGAGACAGCGGACAGTAATGAGCTTAGCAACGGGGGCGAACGTCTCTTTGTAATCAATACCTTCGCGCTGCGTGAACCCTTTGGTGACAAGGCGAGCCTTGTAGCGTTCGATGGTACCGTCGGAATGATACTTGATTTTGAAGACCCATTTACATCCAATGGGGCGTTGGTGGAGGGGTAAAGGAACCAAAGTCCAGGTGTGATTGGCTTCAAGGGCTTCAAGCTCAGAATTCATAGCTGCAAGCCAGTGAGGGTCATGGCGTGCCTGCTCATAAGAGGCTGGTTCAACTAAGTGAGAGACATTGTGAATAAAAGAGCGATGAGCAGGAGAGAGACGAGCATAAGAAACATACCGGTGAAGAGGATATCGTGTGCCGGACATGGTGGAAGAGATGGCGCTGGGCTGAAGCAAAGCAGCATGATGGGTCTGATAGTCACGAAGGTGGGCAGGTGGTTGTTTAATGCGTTCGGAGCGACGAAGGGGAATGAGGGGCAGCGAAGGAGATGATGGTGCAGGAGTTGGCGAGGTAGTAGTGTCTAGGGTTGGAGGAGGTATGTCAGGAGGAAGGGAGGGAGTGAATGAGGCAGGTAGATCAATAATGGGAAGGAGGTCTGAAGGTGCAGGAGTGGGGTCGTCATGGGGAACAGGTAAGACTGGGGTATTGTGGTCAGGTTCTGGTGATAAGTTAGCAAGAGGTAAAAATGCGCTTGCTATCAAGGTCATAAACGCGATAGCCCTTCTGACTAAGGGGATATCCCAGGAAAAGGCAGCGACGAGCACGAGCATCAAATTTGTGTGAGAGAGTAAGGTTGGTAGCATAGCATAAACACCCAAAAGCTCGAAGATGAGTGTAGACAGGTAGTGTCCCATGCAAAAGTTTATAGGGAGATTGATGGGAAAGCAGGGGTGTTGGAAGGCGATTGATAAGGTAACAGGTAGTTTGTACACTCTCCCCCCAGAACTTTAAGGGTAGGTTAGCTTGAAAGCATAAGGCTCAGGCAACATTTAAAAGGTGACGGTGTTTGCGTTCAACGACTCCGTTCTGTTGAGGGGTGTGGGCACAGGTGTGTTGAAAAAAGGTGCCATGAGTGTCTAAGAAGGATCGCAGAGATATGAATTCCCCCTCATTGTCTGCACGAAGGGTTTTAATGTCACGATTAAACTGTGTTTTCACCCAAGAAAAGAACGAGTGGATTATGGTTTGTGTGTCGGATTTAAATCGCATGAGATAAACCCATGTGAATCGAGTGAAGTCGTCTACAATGGTGAGGAAGTAATGTGCCCCAGAGGGTGTATGTGTTTGGTGCGGCCCCCAAATATCACAGTGGATCAAATCAAAAGGTGCAATTGATTTTATTAAACTGGAAACAAAAGATGAACGAGTTTGCTTTGCTAAAGGACAAATATCACAAACATGTGTAGAATCAAAAATGATTTCTGGAATGGTCTGGGATAAAGAGTGAAGATGAGCCGAGGATGGGTGCCCAAGACGTTGGTGCCACAGTGTCGAGGTATGGTTGACATGGTTGGCGAGATGAGGGTTTTGTGTTGGAGTGAGGTAGTAGAGTCCATTAAACTGCTTGCCCAGGCCAATCATCTTCTTCGTAGCCATGTCCTGCACAACACAAAAACCGGGGTAGAAAATCACAACACACTTCAATGCCCAAGTTAACTTACTCACAGACAATAGGTTCACACGAAATTGTGGTACATGCAAAACTCTATCAAGGGTTATCTTGGTGACAGTTTAATAGACCCAATGGATTCAATCGCAGCCTGTCCACCATTTGGTAACCCAACAAAATCATGTTGGGGTCTAGTGTGATTATGGATGGGTGATGAGTGAGAAATATGATCTGTGGCCCCGCTATCCACGATCCAATACAATGTTGAATGCGGAGAATGTTGTGTAAAGTTACAGTTGGGCGTATAGATACCTGTTACATGTACAAATGGCAGATTGGTACCATTCTTATTGCGAAGAAGGGCCATGAGTTGATGATATTCCTCGGTTGTGAACGTTAGTTGATTGCTGGAGATGGGTGCTTTGGTTGTGTCAATCTGAGCAGTTATCAATGGTAATGTCTCAACATTGTTGGAGGCTGGAGGTGTACGCCTATTTCTGGGCTGCACATTCTTTCCGTGCCATTTGTGTCCTTCAGGGAAGCCAATAAGAAAAAAACAACGTTCAACTGGATGTCCTCCGTCACAGTAGCTGCATTTGAAAGTCTTTCGTGAACTAGGGTTGTGGGTGTCATAGCCCCTTTTTGGTGCTGTTGAACGACTGGCTTGCATTGCATGGGCAGTGGGTTCACGACGATTCACCACATCCAATTGGCGTTCGTGTTGGAGGACCAATCCATGGACTCGTCGTGTATTCGGGAGTGGGCTCATCATCAATATAGAGCCTCGTATGGTGGAGTAGTTCTCGTTCAGTCCCATTAAGAACTGCATGACTCTCTCTTTCTCTTCCCTGTCTGCATGTGCCTTGGATCCTTCGCATTCACAAGCAATGGGCTCATGATATGATGCTAATTCATCCCAAAGAGCTTTTAATTTTGTGTAATAATCTGAAACAGATAGCTGTCCTTGTCGGTGTTCGACAATCTCTTGTCGAATTTGATAGATCCTGGAATCGTTGCCTTGCGAGAATCGATCCTCAAGGTCTCTCCATGCTGCTGTCACAGTTTTGCAGTAGAGTATACTGTGAGCAATGTTGCCTTGCACAGATTGCCAAATCCAAGATAAGACCATGTCGTTGCATCTCTGCCAAATTGAATATTTAGCATCAGTGGTTGCAGGGTTCTTGATTGATCCATCAACGAACCCTAGTTTGTTTTTGGCGCTGAGAGCAATTCGCATAGAGCGGCTCCATTGTCCATAGTTGTGTCCATCGAGAAGTTGTGAGACTAAAACAAGACTTGGTGAGTCTGAATGATGCAGAATGAGAGGATCAGATACATGAGGTATCATCTCGTCGCCCATGGTGGCTAGGTTTGATGAAGAGGAACTGGTTGTGTTTGTGGTGGAAGCAAAGATGAGCCTTCTAGAGTCACCAAGATCGGTGTTCTGATACCATCTTAATATTTGGATCCAATATATATTTTTGAATCTTCTGCTGCAATTGCAGCAGAGTTTATATACATCTTTGTTACACACGCATGCAATAAACAAAAGGACTGGAAGTGGCATCCATGCTGTCCTTGTTGCAGCAGTCAGAAACCACATGCAGTGGCCTTGCTGTCCATGATGCATGTGTCCTTGCTGTCCAGATAATGGTACATCTACACATGCTAACCTAGCTGTCAAGGAATGATAATATTCCTTCTGTCCAGTTTGTGATGTAGTGGAGCACCTTTAACACCTTTAACAATAGTAGTGTAGGCTTGGGATCTAGGCACACAGTCAAATGTGATCCACAGAATTTAGACATATATTGAACCAACTCCAAACCCGATTAAAGTTGAAGTAGTTTTTAAGTACAACTGGTTGTATAAGTGTATATGTATGTCTCATTCTCAAACTCACCCAAAAATATTGAAAGAGAATATGGCATTTGACTTTAGAATCTCCAGTGTAATTAAGGAACAATTATTCTAAAACTTCAGTTTGTCTTTCATTTTACATGTATGTGACTGTAATTCTAAAATAATCATCATGCACTAAAAAGATGCGAGTATTAAATGATTATTTTAATTAAAATTATACTAGTGCAAGCCCTAAGATCACACCTAGGACACAGCAACAAGAAACCAAAACCTTTTTACATTAAAAAGGGAGGGTGTAGTCAATCACCTAAGTAATCGGTCCATGTAATGTGTCAACTACTTCATCTTTGCCTGTTCATACATCTATCTGCCCCATTGGGGGCACACCACCACCCCTGGATTTTCAAGTTAATTGTCCTAATAAATCTCAGCCTTAATTATGTTGTCAACTTATGGGTTTCGCACAACATGCTGCCTTAATATTTCAGTCCATGTCATATCCAGGAGAAGAACCAGCATATAGCAATTTCTGATCCAAATATTGAATATTTGCTTCAAAATCTGAAAGGCATTCGGGTGTCACAAAACTGTAATTTAATTGTACCTAGCTAGGAAATACACCACATTCACTCTTTAAAACCGTATTAACACAGTGGGATGATTTACGTTTGAGCATAGTACTCGATTCAGCAGAAAAAAGAAGAGAAAACAAATTCTCAAGTTCGAGTCACCAAACAATATGCCATATAACGACATGACGATATCTTACCTATTACAAACAAAGAAAGTTCAAAGTGGGATAAAATATTTACAAGTGAAATATAACCGCATCATTTGGAACGAAAATAATGAGTTCTATTTTGGCACCCTAACATTATTCATTTTCATCGGCATCAACCTTAGGGCTACCTTCAACGAACCTGCGCCAATACCAATGCTTTGCCCACACGGTGTAAACTTGATCCAACGGGATTCCTTTAGTCTCTGGCAGGAAGAGCGTGACGAAAATGGTCATCACCAGAATCCAACTGCCGTAGAACAAGAATGTGGCGAATTTGAAATGGCACAGCATGGTCAAGAAGGTTTGGGAGAGTACAAATGTGGTGGCAAAGTTGACTGCTAGCCCCATGCTTTGGCCAGTGGGTCGAATTTTCATGGGGAATATCTCACTGGGGATAAGCCAACTCAAAGGTCCCCATGACCAACCAAAACCAGCAGCATATAAACACATCAGTACTAGAACTAGTATGGCATAGCTTTTTGAGATATGGCCATTGCCATCCGTACCTGTTGTAACTCCCAGAACTATAGCTACACCAACCTTCAAAAAATATATCAGATAAGAAAACTTAGCTTCTTTTACATGGTCATTGATAACGAACATACTCTTATATATCTTGACTCGTCTAAACTCGTTTCTCGACTATGCAAAAAGGGTATAATAGTTCTACATCTACATAAAACATGTTTATGTTACCAAGCTCTGAATATGGACTACCCAATCCGACAAAAATTAACTTGATCAATAGTCATAGTCTAAATTCACGTTTTGTAATTAAATAAACAACTTATATTGCCAAATAGTGACTATAACAACTTGTATTGCCGGATGATATAAACAGTCTCTTACCATACTTGTGCTGCAAGATAGATACTTATATTACTAGGCTGTGAATATAGACTACCCAATTAGACTAAAATCAACTTGATCAGTAATCTAGATTCAGCATATTATAAAGTAACTAAATAAACATCTTCTATTGTCAAATAGTATGACAATATATAACATTTCCCTCCCATAAAAAAATGAGTTTATTTTGCAATGTTCTCAAAATAAAACTCAATATACCAGATCAGCTAGATGAAAGTCACCTGACAGATGACCATCTGGATGCCACCCTGCATGAACAAAAACCTCCGACCATGCCGATCAACCATATATGTAGACACAAGGATGGAACCAAGATTCACCAACCCAAGTATTATCGCAGCAATGAGAGCAGAATCATTGCCGAAGCCAACAGATTGAAACAACACAGGCGCATAGAAAGCAATGATATTAATCCCAGTGAGCTGCTGAAAAAACGGCACAGCAAGTGCACCTATCAAAAGCTGAGGCCTATACTGCCTCTGAAATATGGTCACAAAAGGTTCCTCATTAAGAGCTCTGGCAACTTCAGTGGCCTTGATAAGAAGAGCGAGCTCGGCCTCAATGTCATCCTTGCCTCGGATTTTAACTAGGGATTTTCTGGCTTGGTCGACCCTATTGCGTCCTACTAAGCTTGTGGGTGAGTCCGAGATGAAGAGGGTGCCAATGGTCATGATGGTGGCCGGGACTATTGCGAGACCGAGAGAGAGGCGCCAGCCCCAGCTGTGCTTGGCCGTGGCATAGTTTATGCAGTTGGATGCCACCACCCCAATTCCTATGAAGAACTGAAAGCCGGTGCTAAATGCACCTCGCCACTTGGGTGGTGCAATTTCTGAGAGGTAGATTGGAGCAGACTATATTTTGACAATATTGCAAGGGATGTTAGTAATGTATAAAACCAATGGACGTATGCACAAAAAAACGGTGGAATCACGGATCATTTAGTTCACTTTATCTTAAGACAAGTTGAATAAATATTTGTGGGATTCACTTTTTTGAAACTCGCCTTAATTTATCGAGGATATGATATACGTTTTGTGATTAGTTAAATGATACAAAATAATATCGACCTAAATTTGAGTTTTAGATATTGGTGTAATAGGAATTGTAAAACAGGGAATAATGAAAGGGGCTAATAAACACATTTTTTTCGTTATCTTTCTTTTCAAACAACTTATCACCTGAGGAGAAAAATAAATATTGTTCTGATTCAGGAAAAAATTCTCAAAAAATAAAAAACATTCTCTTTCTGAATTGTCATCGGTATCATACATTCAGACAAGAATCAACTTGATATATAAATGATCCATAATCATAGTAAGAGAACGTTTCCCGCAACAAAAACAAACAAAAAAAAACATTTTAAATATATTTAAAATCCTTCTTTTTTTATGGGTTTATTCTTTGCAGGCCCAAGAACATACATAAAGAAAGTCCACTTACTTGGTTAGTGAAACCAACCCCAAATCCGAGCAAGATACGGCCCAAAATAAGCATGGCAACATTGACAGCGCCCCCATTGATGGCAGACCCAGCAAAGAAGGTGCAGCCACCCAGAAGCATAACATTGCGGCGGCCGATAGTCTTGGCCAGACGGCTGGCCACGAGCGATGCAGCCAATCCGGCTATGTATAGGGAGGACGTGAATGCTGTCAAAACCTGGCTATCATAAACACAATATATGTTTTTCGCGGGCCCTCCCTTTCTCAGTACTTCTGGGAAAAACTTGTTCAGAAATGGTGCCATTGTAGTTACTCCTCCTGTGAAAATTGTATACGTTCATGATTAATGTCATGCGTTTGATGTACACCAAACTAGATCATAATTGTAGATGTTCATCATTAGTTTCATGTGTATAACTGTGTCATTGGAGGTATATCTTTAGTTTTAACAACATTTATTACGTGACTCAATTGTATGACATACACAGAAATATATCTTCAATTGTAGGGTAGAATACCTCATATTTGGTTTTTTTTTTTTTTTTTCAATACATCGATATTTTTACACTAAGGGGAGGGGGAGTTCGGATAAGTCACACAATGGACAACCTAATTTGCTATCAAATTCATCATCCACGAGATTCGAACCTAACACCTCTTACTTCCAAGTGAAGAAGAATACCACCAAACCGTAGTACTGAGTGGCTCATGTTTGGTTATGTTACTATAACAAGTATGACTAGATTCATAAAATTAAAATCAAATAGATTCATAAAATTAAAATCAAAAATCCGCCAATTGAAAGATGAAGGAGACCGATTCGAGCTAGCTAGCGGGGGCATGTTTTAATTACATTGGCAAATAATAGACACGTTATAAGACATACTCCAATCTTTGGAGTAAATCTCAAATTTTAAGTTCTAAACTTAATTACCCCAGCTTGCTTCAACATTGGGACAAATTTTGAGTTTTAACCCGTAACTCATTTTTAGGGTAAATTTAGGTCAAAATTCTTGTGACAACCCGTCCTTAACTTTACGAAATTATTGATTTTAAATGAGTGAAATTATGAAAATGCTCTAGAGGCGAGATTGTTGACATTGTGAAATCTCATCCCCGGAATTTCACTATTAATTACGTATCTAGTTATTTAAATTCGTATTTCATGTTTACGTTATCTTCATTAGTTAATTTTAATTCCTTTAATTTTTGGAATTAAACCGAATAGTTATCGGGTTTGAATTTTCATAATTAATCTTTACAATTTGTTGACCTTTTGAGGTCATAAGTAACGTTTTCGAATAGATCTCGAAACCACGAGTGAATAGGTGAAAGTCGTTTGTGAGTCCGGATTATATCGGTATAATTACGGATATTTGAAGTTGTTTTACTAAACTATAGTTTTTTAAATTAATTAAACTACTACAAGGAAGAAACCCAATCAGATTTAAGCAAAAATAAGGGGACCAATCAACTACAAGGACAAGTGACCAATCAAATTAAAGGAACTAAGGACCAATCAGAGAAGGGAGAGAAAGCTCCCAGCTCTTCATGTCGATCGTACACCCACGCCAAACCAGTTTCGACCCGGTTCCAAATTCGACGAATTTTGCATTTTTCTGTTGAATCACCACCATCCACCACCTGCAACCTCTTCCACAACTTCCCATCTTCCATCTCCACCCAAATTCGAGGGCTTTTAGGTCTAAAATTGGTGAAGGAAGACGTCGGGTTCGTCGAAAGGTTCGACGGTGATTCCGCCGTTCCGGTGAGTTACACCACCCATCACCACCCTTAATCAACTCCCCTTGGACCCAAGAACAAGACCCAATTAGTTGTAGGGGCGTCGGAACACCGAGGAAGGAGAATCGAAGCTCACCCATTATAGGGTTTCTGACTGGTGCGAGACAAATTGGGGCCTTTCCCGGCTAAATTAGACTTGGCCACTGGTATGAAACTTGCTCTACTCATTGAGATCTACGTTTCTGTGAAATTTGAGAATTTTTTGAAATAGTTGGATTTTCTGATGAGTTGAGGCGGCTGACCACCATGTGCGGCGGCGCGTGTGCTGAGACCCTACGTGCCCTTTCTAGACTAATTTGGATGCTCTGATTCCATATGTTACGTACGATTGATGAAATCTCATCGTATGACTATAGTTTGATAGAGACCGCCACTTGGACATTATATTAATCGACGATCCAACCGTTGAAATGTCACCAAACTTTAATACATAAAAGTACATAATATTTAAGGATATTTAGAACTGACGGATCGAGAATCTGATGTACGAATCTTCCCAAATTGGATTTGTAATTTCGTAAAATAAAATGTTGACTGCCACTTGAATTGTGATTGACGGAGATCCGACTGTCGGATTGTGGTAAGATTTTAGTATGTTGTTTTAAAAGCATAATGTAGATCTTTCAACGTTTTGGATCGGAAATCCGAGGTGCGGATATTCCGAATCGAGTTACGTAGGGTTATGGACACCACCATCGACTTTTGACCGAAGGTTGACTTTTGGTCAATGGGTTACAAATCATTCTAGAATGTCCTTAGAGATGTGTTTTATGTAAGGTACGTGTTCTATCGATAAGAATTCTGAGACGTGATTTGATATTTGTTCTAGGCGACGATCGTTCGTGACACCTCGATATTCGTGTTAGGAAGTTGTAGTGCGACAGGTGAGTGTGTCTTTTCCTTTTTATAGTATACATATATGATTGATAGTTTCCATTTATGCATTTGAAAAGAAATTTCTTACGTACGCCTGGATTAGACTAAAGTTTATAAGAATTAGCGAAATGACGGAATTTATGAAATATGCTACATCGTACGGGATGCACAGGTATGCTTATAATCTTTGATGCCATAATTATATCTACGGCTATGAATGTTAGTATGTTGATTAGAATTATTGAATTGTTATGGTATGCTTATATTTATGTAGTTTGCTCATCATTGATGCACCTCTGTATTAGTGCTTGCTCAGGGCCAGGGCTAATCTTTCACGTGTATGTTCACCTCTGCACCGCACGCTCACCTTGGATCCAAGTAGGTGTCAGTCCTGTTGTATAAGTTGCATTAGGCAACTTTAACTCGTAGGTGACTGCGAATAGCACCAGCTTTCACGTGATTGTAGCACTAGAGCGTATATTATGATTACACCCAGTCCTATCGTACAGGTCACATTAAGCGACTCTGACTCATGTGCTAGCATAGATTGATGAACATCATTTTAGTTGTACAAGTCGCATTAGGCGACTCCAACTTGTGTGCTAGTATAAATTGATGAGCACCTAATTTTACTTATATTACTGTTGAGATTTTGTGATTTTGGATGTCTTGCCCTTAGTTACGAGATATTGTGCTATAAAGAATTACTGAGATTTTGTAGGCTATGGTAAGTATTTTTATACTATACGTAGTAAGTATATTTTGGAAACTATACTTGTTTTACGGCGAGGGGTTACAATGTTTTCAGAAAGGTTTTTATAAAACTTTATTTTCAGACCCATTCACCCTTGTTTTTCGCCCCTCCAAGTTTTAATAGCTAAGCTTTCTTATCGACAAGGATTCGTGACAAATCTTGGTATTGGAGATTACCTTCGATGGTATGATTTTCAATCCACTATACCGTACTTTACTTATGCTCTGTCATCACGTGTGAAATTGGTTCATTCTCGCTCACAATGCACTCTTTAAATTAGGCACTTTTGGGTTTAAATTTATTCACATTTTCCACATCACTACACTTTATGGCTTTGTCACCTTCTAGGTGTCGGCCAGCACAGCTCGATTCGAAGTCCAAGTGGGCATTCCGGGTCGGAGGTGTGTTAATTCCCCCTCTGGGTTAGTGGGTTGATGTAACATCCCACATCGCCTAAGGGAATGGATCCTGTAAGCCTTATATGTATATTCTCATCTCTATCTAGCACGAGGCCTTTTGGGAGCTCATTGGCTTCGGGTTCTATCGAAACTCGGAAGTTAAGTGAGTTCGCGCGAGAGCAATCCCATGATGGGTGACCCACTGGGAAGTTCTCATGTGAGTTCCCAGAAACAAAACCGTGAGGGCATGGTCGAGGCCCAAAACGGACAATATCGTGTTACGGCGAAGTTGAGCCTGGGATATGGTGGGGGCCCAGGCCGGGATATGACAATTTGGTATCAGAGCTAATCCCTGGCTGGAAGTGTGTCGACGAGGACATTGGGCCCCTAAGGGGGGTGGATTGTAACATCCCACATCGCTCATGGGAGTGGATCTTGTAAGCCTTATATGTATATTCTCATTTTTACCTAGCACGAGACTTTTTAGGAGCTCACTGGCTTCGGATTCGATCGAAACTCGAAAGTTAAGCGAGTTCACGCGAGAGCAATCTCATGATGGGTGACCCACTGGGAAGTTCTCATGTGAGTTCCCATAAACAAAACCGTGAGGGCGTGGTCGGGGCCCAAAGCGGAAAATATCATGCTACGGCAGAGTCGAGCCCGGGATGTGGTGGGGGCTTAGGCCGTGATGTGACAGCTGGCCTACTATATATGTGTATTTTTTTAAGTTTTATATTTATAAATTCATTGAATCCAACAGTTAAGATTTAATATGGACAAATCTAACGATAGAAAAAAAAAATCTAATCATCCAAATTTAAATTCAACGGCTAAAATAATTAAAAATAATTTTTTTCATGTGTTTCATATCCTTTCATAGTGTTGCATGAGTTTCTTGGTGTCGTTTAGTGAATTTTCAATATCTATTGGAATCTAAATATTTTTAAGTTAAAATGTTCATAAAATTAAATTATGATAGTCTACGTAATTTTAGTTTCTTTAAAGTTACTTTATGAAAAGAAATATCCTAAATTCATTTTTTATAATTTTGGGCAGAAAATTTAACCCACAAGAATTGAAACAGAAAAACTGTTTCTGAATTAAAATCTAAATTTTGAGTTAACATTTTTAGATTTTAACATAAAGGTTGGAGATGATTTAACAAAATGAATTCTTATTCCAATGTTCTCGAAGAAAGTTTGTATGTGAAAAATTATTAAATTATAATTAGCACTTTAAAATTGTATATTTGCAAATATGATTACTTTTCAGATGAACCAGTAAAAAACAAAGTGAGAGAGAAGTAGGCTGAGCAGAGATGTTTCTTTGCTAATATAAAAATGGACGTGGCGCCATAGAGTCATGGACGTGTCACCCCTTATCACTAAATTATTTATCATTAGTTGAAAAGATTTCAATCCATCCAAGCATCTCAAGCACTTGGTTGAATTCATATTTTATTTTCTTGGGCATTGAAAGTTTAATACTTTTTTCTAACCTAACCTTTACGGGTAGAATAGTAACAATAGTCTATCATCAATTAATTCATAGAGAATAATAATTAAAATTAAAACCAAAATATTCTTCTATATTTAATAGTAACATATCAGTTGTAAACATATTCTTTATTGAATAAATTTTAATTTTTTTAAAATGTTATATAAATTTATACAATTTTTTTTTTAATTTGTCATACGAATTAAAATTTTAAAAAATTGGTATTGGCACTCTTATAACTTTAACGAAAAATGTGAGCATGAGTACTATATTATTTCTTAAACTGAATACGGGTACTACAATATTTCTTAAATTGACTATTTCTAAAACTGAATACGGATACTATTTCTGAAACTGAAAGCAAATTGGTGTGCGCCTTGCTCTTGCTTTTGGTCATGTTTTTTTTTATCTTTTTTGTCCTTTTCTTTCTTTTGTTCTTATCATTAAATAAAGTTATTAGATGGATTTTGATTAAAATTTGAAGTCATTTTTATTAGTTTTCTTTTAGATTTTAAGCAAATAGTAGTTTCCAAATTTTAAGCTATTTATCATACTTATTTTCTGACATCATTAGTTTGTCATGTCACCCTAATTTCATTAAGTTTTCCATCCAAAATAAGTTTGTGTTCAAGGTTATTTCGAACTTTTGACCTCCTTTTCACAAGTTCTTTAATTCTTTTTGGTATGGACCCAGAAATTTTGGCTAATATAAAAAAAATGTCATCTAATGTTTCAAAAACTTATGCTAAATAATAAAAAGGTATATTAGGCTTACTAATATGGAGTTTAACTAATTACAAAGATTTGAGAACTCATTGTGATCAATCATATCTATTAAAAAGTTGGAATGTCCAAAATAACTTTGAAAATAAAACATGCGCAAGGCACATGGCTTATTTTGGATTAAAAATTTAATGGTATTAGGATAAAATGACAAACTAATCATTTCTGAAACTTGATATAACACATCACTTAAAATTTAGTTCATATAACAAATTGAATAAGGTGTACCAAGCGTGAGGAGAAAATGTTTGGACCCGGAACATAGTGGGTTAAAGAGAAAAACTTTAACTATCAAACGATCTATCATGTGCTTTTTTCATAAGAAAGGTGAAGCATTTTATTTATTTATAAGAATCTAGGTGAAGTTTGATAAAATAAAAATTTAGGTGCTTACAGAAATTTTCTTGATAAAATAAAATGTGCCAAAAACTTTTTTGTCATAAAAAAATGTAGTTATGAATGAGTTTTAAAATTGTGCCGAAACAAGTTAACCAAAAAAAATAAATAAAAATTGTGCCGAAAAAAGATACAACCTTAAAAATCATCGAGTGGCAAACCCAAATCGATTTAGGTCTTATAATCGTTTTAAAAACTTTTACGGAGCACGTGGCATATCCTTCAATAAAAATTGATCCGATCCATGGTTATCTTGTTATTCTTAATAAAAAAAAATTAAATAAATCATAACAAAACCTTGCCTAACAGTCAATTGCATAAAGTCACATATTTTGTTGACGATTCATGGAACTTATGGACAAATCTCTTTTGTCCTTTTTAGCGTTGGAAAATGATAGAATAAGGTCACAAAAATACCAAACGTTTAATTTGGCTGCCAAAATGTCAAGAGGCTATATATATAAAAATATTAAAACCCAAATTGATTGTATTAATTCAAGACTATCTTTTGCCCTATTTGAGTTCTCAATTCAATTTTTTTATGAAAAACGATTGCCCCCAGCATTATTATTTAGCGGTAGTGCCTTCAAACTAGAGCGAGTGTTAAAATTCCGACCAATATTGGTTTTTAACTTTTTAGGTAAACTGTGACTATCCATTATTCTCTTCTGAATATTGACAGACTACCAGTACATATTCAAGTTAATTAATTTCATATTCATACACCGTTTCTTCATCTTCTTCTCCTCCTTCGGTTTTCTTTATAAAAAAGAATAAAAATAGTTTTTGGATAATTGTAATTTAACAGCAACACAGAGAGAGAGAGAGAGAGAGAGAGAGAGAGAAAGCATTTCAGATAAGTTCATATAAATTCGAACCTTAAAATTAAAGAAACTACTAAATTATATAATCGAACGAAACGCACCTGAAATTCCGATGTCATAACCAAATATAAGACCGCAAGAAGCCGCGACGATGCACGTTATCACCACCGAAACCGTTATCTTGCCGTCGATGCCAGCGACGGCCAGAGGTCCGTCAACGGCGAAACCACCCACGGCCATATTTTCTGTTCTCTAATTCTCCCTCTTTTCTTTCGCACTCTCTTATTTTCTCAGGAAACAAACAGCAGATAACGCTCAAAATATCACTCGGAATTCAAAACGGATAGTCCACTCCCGGACAGTTGCAGTTTGCAGAGAGTATGCGCTTGCCCAGGAGTTGGGGGGTCATAAGAAAGTTGATTAATTTATAAAGCAAAGACTGGCGTTGCGATTTGCAATTTTTTTATATTTTAAAATGACTAAAAGCCCATTTTACCCGCGTGAGGATCCTCTAAGGATCTGGAGATTCTCCAATCACATATGTTCATCATACATCATGCGGTCAGTTTTCATCAGATACTGTTTATATTTAATTTTAAAATTTACAATGATTTATAACCGTATAATATACAATATACGAATGCGACTGAAGGATCTCCGGATCTAAGAAGATCTGAAAAGGATCCTCATTCACTTTGCCCGTCACCTAAAAATGGAAAAGCTACCTACCAGTAAGCAGGCAGGTCTATATTTGTAAATTACAGGTTATTTTGTATGCTTATTATGCGTGCATAATATCCATTTTCCAACAAAAACAAAATCCTAATGAGGAAAAAAAAAGTAAATGATATATCATTTTCTCGTACACATTGATATTTAATCACGTCAGTTGTTTTGTTTGATTTCTTTATCAGATTAAAACAGTGTAAAAATCAGTTCAGAAAAGTCTTGATGATAAAGAAAATATCACGGGCCATTCCTTTATCTAATGTAAGACTTTGGGTAAAATTCGAAAAGAGCCACTCACATGTAAGATTACACGTATTAGATTAATTCGGATATTAGGGATTCTTACTAGGTTTACAAAGATAATGCACTTGGTGATATTCCTAATTACGAATGCCAAATATCCAAATTCATCCAGTACAGATGATTTCCAAATTTACCTAAAAACCTGACTCTCACTAACCCCAAATATCTAATTGGACATCGAAATCAAGACGTGTTTCCCGATACTTGAAAGGCAACGAAGTTATAACATGCATATGATGTGTAAAAAAGATAAATAAATTAAAACCAAAGTCTAGAACTAACTTATTCTAAGAGTGAGAGTGCACAATGCAGGATGAAGCCTTATTACATATGCATGTAATGTCAGAGCATAAATAACTAGGTAATACAATAAAGAATATTATCATCCTGGGTAGGATGGATATTACACTACTAACAGGAAATAAATTTTCTACATTAACAAAAAATATGTTAGAACCACCAGTGATCTCTTTCGCTTGCCACTGAAATCTAGCTACAAAGTCCTAGCGGGATGCAAAACAAAAAATGTGAGTGGGCTTTGATTTCAAGGGTATATTATAGACAGGGTAATGTTAGGGAAACTAAATTTGTAGACCAAATTTTGTAAACTAAATGATATGAAAGTTAACGATTGAATTATTACTTAAATTTTGATTAATGTGTTTATTTCTCATTTGTGACAAATTATTTACTTGACAAATTTAATCTACCTAGCATTACTTTTATATATAGTTTGCATAATTGAAATGCCCCTCAAACAAAAATGTTCAAAAGCAGTCCAAAATAATGCATCAAATAATGCAAGAGTATTTTCATCATATAAACAATGTTTTTTTATAATTAGTTTTTTTTTGTGTGCAGGTCTTATTTATTTTTCATTTATTTATAGGGGAAATTGTTGTTTGACCCTTTGAACTCTTATTCCAGTTGAAATTGACCCCCTAAACTATTTTTTGGTAAATTAACCTCCTGAACTATTTGAAATAAAGCCAATAAACCCCTTATAGTTAGATTTCGTCCATTATGCTATCAAATTCAAGGGCAAATTAGTCTTTTTATCATCAATTCTTACATGTCACTTATAACCACCAATAAAATTAAGACATGTGGACACATAATAATGTGTAATGACAATGTGAAATGGTCTTTTACTTGAATGTTTCGTTTAATTTTTTTATGTTTCCTATTATGCTATAAGTTTTTGAATTATTTCATATCCACGTGTCATTATTTTATTGGTGGATATAACTGACAAGTAAGAGTTGATGATGAAAAGACTAATTTTTCTTTGAATTTGACGAAATAGTGGACAGAATCTAATGGTAAGGGGTTAATTGGCTAATTTTAAATAGTTTAAGGGGTTAATTTACCAACTGGGGGTCAATTTCAATTGGGGTAATAGTTTAGGGCTTGAAAACTTTGAGTTTTAATGATAAGGACAAAATAAAGGGTAAAGTGAATGGTACCAGGATTGACTTTTTAGTGTAAAAATGTGGTTTTTCGTTAAAGTGAACAGTACCGGGAGCTTTTCGTTAAAGTTCCCTATTTATAATTGAGTAAACTGTCGATTTCCCCCCCTGAACTTTTCGATTGAAAAATTAAGGACTCAAACTAATTTTTTTAGCCAATTTGCCCCCCTACCGTTAGTTTTTCAAACATTCCATCCATATTTCTGTTAAGTGAGACCATGTGCATAACATGTGATGGTAGTTAAGTCATTTCACTCTTAAAAATGATTAAAAAATTGAAAATAAATTTAAGAAGAAAAAACTTTCCCTTTATTTTTTCCCTCTAATTCCTATCCTCAATTTTATTTTTCACTCATTCCTATGCATGAGAAATGACATATGGTGTTATTGTCTTCAAAAGTATCTAAGTTAGTCTTTTTCTTGAAGCATGTACTGCCATTTTTATTTTCTTTAACAAATTAATAATTTGACAAATGCTCATGGTGTTATTGTCTCCAAAGCAGTGCATTAATATAAACATGTTACCTGTTGTGCTTCACTTTAGAGACATTAAGACTTTACTAGTAGAAGAGTTAGAAGAGTTATAAAAATAGTTTCCAGCAGTTAACATTTCCGCCATTTAGTAAAAACTACAACAAGTCAAAGAAAAAAATTACTACTCCAATCATCAGCATCAAAACTCCAAAGATCGGCTAACTGCACTAATCCTAACTATTCCTCCAATTTTCTAGCAATAGTATCCAACCAAATCACACAAAAAAAAAAGCATATCATACCCACGCAGTTCCACAAAGCTTTGCTTGCCTCCTCAAAGTACAATGTTTTCAAATAATAAATTAATTACTATAAAAGAGAAGAAAGTGCACAACTCAACCTAGAATCAAATTATGAATATTTCAATTGCATTCTTGCACATTTAACACCATGAGCATTTGTCAAATTATTAATTTGTTAGAGAAAATAAAAACGGTAGTACATGCTTCAAGAAAAAGACCAACTTAGATACTTTTGAAGACAATAACACCGTATGTCATTTCTCATGCATAGGAATGAGTGAAAATTAAAATTGAGGATAGGAATTAGAGGGAAAATAGAGGGAAATTTTTTTTAGAAAAAAAAATTATTTTCAGTTTTTTAATCATTTTTAAGAGTGAAATGACTGAACTACCCTCACATGTTGTGCACATGATCTCACTTAACAAAAATATGGATGGAATGTTTGAAAAACTAACGGTAGGGGGCAAATTGGCTAAAAAAAATTAGTTTGAGTCCTTAATTTTCCAATCGAAAAGTTCAGGGGGGAAATCGAAAGTTCGGTGAAATTTTAGGGGGCAAATCGACAGTTTACTCTTTATAATTAGACCTCACAATAGGTTAGCAATAATGTGATTCAAGCGTTGTTTATCAAATATTATTTTCTCTATTTTTAAACACGTTCAAAATATCTTAAGAGGCGTAGTGCTGGTTATAAAAAAAGTTTTTCGCACGCGCATAATAATTTGATTCAATTATTTATCAAATGATTGTTTTTTTTTAACAAATGATATTATCTAAACTAAGGGGGATGGGCTTAGCCTCACAATGAGTTAGAAATAATGTGATTCAAAAAATGTGTAGTCACGCGTAGCAAGCTGTTATTCAAAAAATGTCTTTTGCACGAGCGTAAACGCATGCATGAATGCTAGTAAGTATTATTTGATGACGTTGAAATTTACGAAATTATTTTGTTGTTCACTTAGATATCCGAATCAAAATGTGGCAAAACTTTATATCGTAATTACCACTGGCAAAAAAAGGTTGCACGCCATGTACATCGTGCAATGAGAGAGATTTTTCAATGTGACCGTTACATGAGGTGGTACACCACATGTCTCTATATAAATGGTAGGATATGTATGTTAAAAGATTAATAACTTAAAAATTAAAATTTTCCATCACTTACATAAAAACACGTAGTGTACCATCCGTATTCCTGTCACAACTAAAAATTTCTCGTGCAATGAGTATAAATGAAACAATAAATAAATCATAAAGGTATTTACTTTTTAGGAGATTTTTTTCCATAGTTGTCAACCATAATTATTCCTAACAAATATATGATTTAATCTTCTTTTTCTTTTGATTTTGAAAGGAGATAGGTCTTAAGTTTCAACATTGAATTAGAAAAATGGATTTGACCAAAAACAAAAGGCTTGGAAAATTGAAAAGGTCACATGCATGCAATTGTTTATGGATTAAACTTAATTAGCTAGGGAGGAGTAGTTGGTGATGAAACAAGGGCCTGCACTTACCTTCCACTATTTCTTTCCGTTGTAGGCAAAATTTTAATGCTTTATACGTGGGATATGAGATGGCTTCCACTACAATTGCAATAAAAGGGATTTAATGGAAATGTGTTAGTTACTTTGTTTTTTGAGATATTTGTCAGTTTGTCCTCCAAACTAGTATAGAGGTGCCAATTTTTCTATTGAATTATAATTATAGCCGATTACCTTCTTAAACTTTTATAGTTAGTCAATTTCTCATATGAACTGTAACTTTAACCGATTAACCCCTCAAATTTTATAAATAGCAAATTTCCCTTCTAGCGTTAGATTTTAAAATTTTCATCCAATTTGCATTCATCCAATTTTTCATTCTTTTTGTCCTCATACAGTTATCATGTGTTGTCCGGGTGATCAAAAAAAAAAAAAAAATTGAATGAAATTTTTTAAAATCTAGCGTCAGGGGGGGAATTGGTTGTTTAAAAAAGTTCAGGGAGGTAATCGGTTAAAATTAAAGTTCAAAGGAGAAATTGGCTAATTATAAATGTTCACGGGTTAATTGGTTAAAATTAAAGTTCAACGGAGAAATTGACTAATTATAAAAGTTTAGGAGTTAATTGACTAAAATTAAAGTTCGGGGGAGGGGGAAGGGGAGGGGAA